TTTTTTTTTTGAGACAGAGCCTCAAGCTGTACCCCTGGGTAGAGAGCCGTGGCATCACAGCTCACAGCAATCTCCAACTCTTGGGCTCAAGCGAGTCTCTTGCCTTAGCCTCCCAAGTCGCTGGGACCACAGGTGCCCACCACAACGCCCAGCTATTTTTTTTTTTATTGCAGCCATCATTGTTGTTTGGCGGGCCCAGGCTGGATTCGAACCCGCCACCTTAGGTGTATGTGGCTGAGACAAGAGAATCACTTGAGCCACAGGCGCCGAGCCTAGTTTTTCTATTTTAGAGGAGACAGGGTCTTATCCTTGCTCAGGCTGGTCTCAAACTCCTGAGCTCAAGCAATCCACCGCTTCAGCCTCCCAGAGTGCTAGGATTACATGCATGAGCCACCACTCCCAGCCTATTTTAGTTTTAGTTTAAATTAGTGGCCAACCTATTTAGACTATAAACATCACATGCAAATTGGGATTTTCATCTTCTTTGAGAAATAATGCTTTAACCCCACTAAGTTCTCTTGTCAGGTGGCAGCAAAGAAGAAGCAGGACTATCTCCACAGGATTATAAAGTAGTGAGTTCATTTGTTAGAGGGACGCCAGGTACAGCTTTCTTCTTTCAGTCAGTTTTGTTACAAGTCGACAAATTAACTTGAGCTCAAATTTTAGTTTCAGCTTTTCTAATTCTAGAAAAAAAAATCTTGGCACTGTTTTCTTCTGAGATATATTAAATTTTTTAATTAACTTAGAGAAGGCACAGTGGCTCACACCTATAATCCTAGCACTCTGAGAGGCCAAGGAGGGTGGATTTCCTGAGCTCACAGGTTTGAGGCCAGCCTGAGCCAGAGCAAGTCCTGGTCTCTAAAAATAGCCAGGCACTGTGGCAGGGCGCCTATAGTCCCAGCTACTTGGGAGTCACAAGCAAGAGGATTGCTTGAGCCCAAGAGTTTGAGGTTACTGTGAGCTATGACACCACAGCACTCTACCAAGGGCAACAAAGTGAGACTCTGTCTACAAAAAAAATAAAAAATAAAAATAAATAAATTAACTTAGGGAAGACTGATTACATGATGGGTGATAAAACATCATATCCAAGAACAAGGGATTCCTTTCCATTTGCTGAAGTATATTTTGCATTTTTTCAGTAGTTTTGTCATTATCTTCACATAGATTTTTCACATTTCTTCAATGTATTCTCAAGTATTTTATCTTTATTGTTGCTATTCTAAATGGGATTTTCTTTTCCATTTGATTTTCTAGTTGGCCTTATTTATATATCTGAAGGCTTTTTAATTTGCATAGCTTTTTTTTAGAAAGAGGGGTATCAGTTGCTCACCCAGGGTGCTGTAGTGGTGCCATCACACCTCACTGCAACCTAAAAATCCTAGGTTTTAGAGTTCCTTCTTCCTCAGCCTCCCACGTAGTTGGAACTATAGGTGTGTGCCACCACATTTAGCTAGTTTTTTAAATTTGTTTGTTTGTTTTGAGACAGAATCTCACTATATTTCCCTCAGGAGAGTGCT